TCCTCAGCACCACATAAGCAAAAAGAAAAAAGCCGGAAGCGGCGCTGTGGCTCAAGTGGTAGAGCACTAGCCTTGAGCTGAAGAGCTGAGGGACAGTGCCCAGGCCCAGAGTTCAGGCCCCACGATCGGACCCCAAAAAAAAAAACAAAACAAAGAAACTCTTATCTCCGTGACAAAAACAAAAAACAACCCTGCCCCCCCCCAAAAAAAAATCCAGAAAAACTAGGCATAATGATTAGTGCCTGTCATGTCATCTCAATTGCCAAAGGAAACTTAAAAGAGGTGATTTCAGGCACAAGACTGGGCAAGAAGAGAGACCTCTTATCAAAAAAAGGCTGGAAGAGGCTCAGCAGTAGAGGGCCTGCTTAGCAAGCTTGAGACCCTGAGTTCAAACCCTAATACAGAAAAAAAAAACAAAACTGAAGCTTACAGACAGCAGGAGAGAGCAATGAATGGGGGTCCTTTTCCATAATAATAAATAGCTGTGTAGCCAGGTGTTGGTGGCTATAATAATCCTATAATCCTAGCTACTCAGGAGGCTGAAATTTAAGGATTGCAGTTCAATGCCATCCTGGGCAGGAAAGTCCATGAGACCCTTATCTCCAATAAACCACCAGAAAACCAGAAAAGGCGCTGTGGCTCAACTGGTAGAGTGCGAGTCAAAGAATGGAGGGACAGGGCCCAGGCCCAAAGTTCAAACCCCACAATCGACAAGAAAAAAATAATAATAAAAATAAAAAATAGGTAGCTGTGGAAATGGCAGAGATGACTCCAAAGTGTCTGTACCCTTAATAATTCATTAGGCTGGGTGCTGGTGGCTCATGCCTGTAATCTTAGCTACTCAGGAGGCTGAGATCTGAGGATCACAGTTCAAAGTCAGCCAGGGCAGGAAAGTTCGTGAGACTCTTATCTCCAATAAACCTCTAGAAAACTGGAAGTGGCACTGTGGTTCAAGTGGTAGAGTGCTCACCTTGAGCTGAAGAGCTGAGGGATAGCGCACAGGCCCAGAGTTCAAGCCCCACGACCTTGAAAAAAAAATTCATTAGCTTTTGGGGAACTATTTTTTTATTTTTGAGACAAGATCTCCCCATGTAGCCTAGCTTCAAACTTGAGGGATCCTTTGCTCCCCAAGTGTTAAGCTTACAGAGATGTCTCACTGTGCCCAGCTTGGCAATAATTTTCAAAGTTTTTCTTTTTAAAATAAATCTTACATAAAACTATGCTAGGCAAAACAGCCAAATGATGTTTTACTGATATTAATTTGTTTTTAGGTTCAAAGTAGAACTTAGCTTATAAGACAGCTCCATATTCTATGTGAGAGCTCTAATAGAATGTTGAGAAAGTGAAGGAAATAGATGAAGGAAGGTTACAATGTTTCTATCATTTGTAGCATTTTAGTAATTTGGCAGTGAGACAACTAATCTCACATAGAAATCTACTTATTAGCAGGGAGCTGGTGGCTCATGCCTGTAGTCCTAGCTACTCAGGAGGCTGAGATCTGAGGATCAAGGTTCAAAACTAGCCTGGGCAGGAAAGTCCATAAGACTCTTATCTCCAATAAACCACTTGGAAAACCGGAAGTGTTGCTCCAGTGGTAAAGTGTTAGCCTTGAGCTGAAAAGCTGAGGGACAGTGTTCAGGCCCAAAGTCCAAGCCCCATGACTGACAAAAAAAGAAAAAGAAAGAAAGAAAAAAAGAAATCTATTTACTTTTCATTCTTATAGCACACTAGTGTGTGCTCCAGTATTGAACTCAAGGCGTTATTCTTTTGGTCAAGGCTGGCACTCCACCACTTGAGCCACACTGTCAGTGTCAGCCTTTTGCTGGTTAATTGGGCATAAGTCTCAGGGATTTGTTTGTCTCTGTTGGCTTTGATTCTTACATCTCAGCCTCCTCAGTTTTTAAGATTACAGGCTTGAACCTGTACTGTACCCAAGATTTATTTTTACTAATCAAGTTACTTGCTGTGGTGATGAGGCAAAATTTAATACATCTGAGTGTCCTGAGTTATTTATGTCGTAGGTTTTTATTTTATTTATTTATTTTTTGTCCGTCGTGAAGCCTGAACTCTAGGCCTGGGCACTGTCCCTCAGCTCTTCAGCTGAAGGCTAGTGCTTTTCCACTTGAGCCACAGCGCCACTTCCAGATTTTTCTGTTTAGGTGGTGCCGAGGAATCGAACCCAGGGCCTCATGCATACAAGGCAAGCACTCTGCCACTGAGCCACCTTCCCAGCCTCTATGTCGTAGTTTTTAAAAAAAAAAAAAGGTTAAAATTTAAGTCAATCTTTTGCAAAGACTGATGCAGTTTCTAGAAATTTGGTTCAAACTCACCGCGTCTCCAACCTCACTATTCGAAATCCCTTTTCCAAGCTGAGTAAGGTGGCGCAAGTCGAGAGGTGGAGGCAGGAAGATCGAGACCTTTCGGGCATGCAATTGTTAGGACCTTGGCTGCAAATCAAAAAGGGCTGGGACGCGGCCCAAGTCCTGGTCCAAGTGTGGTTCAAGTGCGAGGCATAGGATTCAATCCCCAGCAAACCTACCTCCCCCACTTCTCTCCCGCAAGAGCCCTTTTCTTCCTCTTAAAAAAAAAATCTTTAAAGTGTCTAATTCCTCGATCCAGCTTTTTTTTTTTAAGTGCAAATCCCTCCCGCAGCAGTCTAGTTCTTTTGAACAAGGGAATCCACCCCTACCAGAGGAGCGTCCCCGCCCCCAAGGGCGTTGATTGGCAGACTACGCTCAGAGCGCTGTCAATCACGTGACCTGGCCCCCAGAAAAGTCCAATCTCGTTTCGCTCGGTGGGCGGTACAGGTTTGTTTTGACGTCTGGCGCGCGCTGTGATGACGCTACGACGCTGACGCCGGAGAATGGCGGCGGCGGCGGCGGCCGTGGCCGCGACCGGGAAACGGTCCGCTGAGCCACGGAGACGCCGAAGAGCCAGCCGCCCGCTCGAGGTGAGGCGGCGCGGCTCTGTGCGAAGGCCGAATGGGCGGGAGGGGCTGACGAGCGGCAGCCGCTGTTATTTCCTGGTATACCAGGGCCCGCCCCTGTGCAGCCCGAAGCCTCGGCCCGAGTGCTCTGGGGCCTACGGTGCCGGGGAGCAGGCTGCTCAGTAGCTTCTCCGGGTCCCCTGTGCCCCAGAATGGCTTGATCTCGAAACCTGCTGTCGTGGTGGGTCTGGTGGACTTGCTCGGATACCCTGCCTGCTGTCCATTTGTCTCACGTCCATCACTGGTTAGATTGATTTAACCTAGTTGCCCTCATTGGTCTCGAGCGTACTCCACATTTAGGGACTGAACGCCAGGTTACAGCGGGGCAATGATCGCTTCCTGTACTGGTTAGAAAACAAACCTGACTCCAGCTTTGGGGTCGCCTGCATGGCAAATCTGTCTTCCTTGCCAGGGGAACCCTAGCACTCACTGTCCAGTCGCTGAGGTGATCATTCCCACCTGAAAATCGAAAGTTCCTCTCTACCTAGCACTGGCTCCTAAGTGACTGAAGGATGATGGCTAAACTGTTTAGCTTGTGGCATTCAGGGATTTCATGTTCTGGCAAAGGCCTAACCCTATAGTTAACACCCGAGCATTTCTGCACTGGCTACCTTTAGTAGTTTATTGTTGAAGCTTGTGAGCTTCCTGTTAGCTCTTGTGGTTTCATGCCCTTCTTGAAATATGCAGTTTACTCAGTTCCTAATACTCTTTCCTTCCACTCCACCCTCATCCATCCGTATGGAAGACTTACATGTGTTCTTTAAAATCCACCCAAAATTTTCATGGAAAAGCCTCCCTTTATATAGCAGTACTATTTGCTGAATTTTTTGGGATAGGTTACTGATTTATGAATAGATACAGATTCAGCCATATTATCATCAGGTCCAAGATCTAAGGTAACCACAGCAAATTCCTATGTATGGAAGTCCTACAGCCTCTCCAATCTTGACGATCTAAAATCTCTTGGGGGAGAGGTGTGTGTGCGCGCGCACGTACGCGTGCACACCAATACTCCCCTTCAACTCAGGGCCTGGGCCCTGTCTTTTTTTTGGGGGGGGGG